CTATTCCAGTCTGGTTGTTATTGTTCCTCTAGAGGGAGGACAGGGCTCTCTCTCTCCTGTGCACACCGTTGCTATGTCCAACCCAGGCTGAGAAATGAGTCTCTAGTTGGGCATCTTATGCCAAAAGATGTGTAACTGAATACAGACAGTAAGCAAAGAAGACTGTATTTGGCCTCAAGTGCCCGCCTAGTTCTGCAGAAAGTTCACTGGTTGGGACCAGCTTCTGCTCTCCCGGCTGGCATCTCTCGGGCGTCTGTTGAGAATTGCTGTCATCAGTGGTTTGGTTCCTTCTGGGCGGTTCTGAAAGGGGGTGGTGCCTGGTGCCAGGAGTTCGCTGCATGCAGATGGTTTTCCTGACTTTGTGTTCGCCCTGTAAAAAAACACAAAGAGGGAAATGGACTTCCTGCTTAACCTGAAGTCATGCCCCGCGATAAGCAGTTTCACTTCCCGCATCCCCATAACGTCTCGGTGAAGCCCACCCACCCTCCTGACTTACAGAAGGGTCAGCTCTTCCCCCAGGGCCAGAAGGTGATTTGTATTTTGTACTCAAGTGCTTCCCAAGAGTTTTGGCAACATTTCATTGAACTCAAATGACTGTTTTGGCTTGCAAATGTCCGTTCAAGTAGAGGAAAAAAGAAAGATTGCCGCCCCATGTCTTCTGATTGAGCCGAAGCTGATTTTTCTAAATATAAGTCAGGTTTTACAAATTCATGGAGCCTGGTGATATGGGCATCTTGTTTGAGAGCTTACGACTTGGAAGGTTAAAGTGATACTTCAGCATGAAAGTCAGTGTCACAGGCTGACTGTGACATAGTGATTGGCAGCCCGGGCCCCAGGTGGTGGCTTTAGAGGGGTCAGAGTCTTCATCCTCATGCCGGATAGGATGGGTGTCTTCTTTCCTAAAATCAAAGCTGGACAAAGTGCCCAAAATCCAGGTGCTGTGCCAGCCCTTCTACCTCTTGCTTCCCTATAGTTGCTCCCTTTACAAATGAAAAAATGCCCCTCAGACTTATCTCTAGTTGCTGTGGGGGCCTCAGTTCTCAAATGCTTCGGTCTCAAGATCCCTGTAAAATTAAACTCTCAAAAATGGTTGAGAACCCAAGAGTTTTGGTTATGTGAGTCTTATCTGTTGATACGTACTGAATTAGAAGTTAAAACTGAAAACTTCTGTTAACACAAGAACACACAAGCACATATTCCATTAGCTAATAGAGCCAGTAACATCACACAACAGTTAAATCAACGTCATACATTCTTGTATATGTTGCATAGGACCCTTTAAGGGAGTTTTATTTTAGAATGTCGGGCTATTATTCAGGGTACCTGAAATTACATCCTTTGTGGCCGTTTAAATTAGGAACAGTCTAAGATGCAAATCTCAAAACGTGTGAGAGGCTACATAGAGTTTTTCAGGATTCTTTGGGAGAAAATCAAGCAGAAGATACAAAGACCCCAGAGATGGGGTCTCCACAGGGGCCCTTTTATAGATGTGGCTGATGGATTTGAAATAAATGCTTCTCCCCAGTGCAATAAATATTTTCTAAACCACCACGCAAACTACTGGCGGTTTCATCCCTCCCTTGAGAGGACTTGACCAGCTGGGAAGAGTCTGGCTCCTACCTGGACCTGTCGTTTCTTGGCACCTAGAATTGTCAGGAGAATTTATTTAGCTCAGCAGCCTGTCCATTTAGGATTTTCCTCCAGTCTGGTGGAATTACTCCTCATCTTGGAAAGTTAAAACACCTGAAATGTCTGTTTGATTCTGACATGACATTATTATAGAGAGGAAATGGTAACCACAGGATGGTAGGTCAGAGGCCCATGGGGCTGTTTTTCTTTGAGGGGCTGTGTCTGATCAGCAGAACTCAGATGCTGGGACAAACTCCCATCTGGATGGAGAACAGCAAAAACCCACTAGTGCCCGGCCGGTGTGGCTCAGCAGTTGAGCTTTGACTTATGATCCAGGAGACCTCGGTTTGATCCCCAGTCAGGGCACATGCCCGGGTTGTGGGCTTGATCCCCAGTGGGGGGTGGGGGTGCAGGAGGCAGCCAATCAATGAAGACTCATCATTGACGTTTCTATCTTTGTCTCCCTCTCCCTTCCTCTCTCTGAAATCAGTAAAAATATATTTAAAAAACAAACAAACAGAAAAACCCCAGCAACAGTGATTTCTTTGCACATGGAGCAGCTCGGGAAACCCCAACACAGAAGGGATCAGATTTCTGTTTCTTCCTAGATCTGCTCCCAGACAGGGTCCTCCAGCCACTTGGCCGAGCCTTTCTTTCTTTATGCCTGGCAGCATGTTCCTTTTTAGTTTTATAAATATTTAACTTCTTTGTTCATGACAAGCTTTGAATGTTATAATTATCAAATGGAACGTTCCCTACACAAGTAGACTCACAGAAAAAAACAAAAATAAGCTTTTCAGGCAAGAAGCAAATGGCTGTGTATTTTCAAAGAATTCTGTTTATCCGACTGTCTTCCTCCGGTTCATGGTGTGGACTCTGTGCCAGAGACAGACATGGCAAAGTTTCCAGATTGAACTAGTAGAGGGCATATGTGCCTGTGCTTTTCTTAAAAAAATAACCTTTCTCATTTTTAGAGTAGTTTTAGATTTGTAAAAAAATTGTGGAAGTGGTACAGAGATTCCCACCTCCCACTCTCCCCTACTACTGACTCTTACCCTAGTGGCACATTTGTTACAATTAATGAAAGATACTGATAGAGTTTACTAACTAAAGCCCACTATTGACTGACATTTCCTTTGTTTCTACTTAACCTCTTTTGCTGTTCCAGGATTTCATCCAGGATTTAGTTGCCATGTCTCCCTAAGCTCCTCTTGGCTGTGGCAGTTTCTCCAGCTGTTTTTGTTTTTAGCAACTTTGACCGGTGTTTTTAAAGTTTATTTTTTAGTGAATTTGTTGGGGTGACATTGTTTAATAGAACCGTATAGGTTTCATGTGTACAGTTGTATAGCACATCATCAATATATTGTATTATATGCTCACTAACCCAAATCAAGCCTCCTTCTGTCACCATTTACCCCCCCTTTAGGCTCTGTACCTCCCCTCACCCCCCCTTCGCTTTGGTAATCACCGTACTGAGATCTGTGTCTATGAGGTTTTTATTGGTTTTGTTTTGTTTAATCCCTTTACCTTTTTCACCTAAACCCCCAACCGCCCTCCCCTCCAACTGCTGTCAGAATGACCTTGACAGTTTTGAGGAGTACAGGGCAGATTTTTTGGAGAAAGTCCCACAGTTGGACCTGTCTGAAGTTTTTTCTCATGAGTGGACGTATGTTATCTGTTTGGAGAGAAGACTCCAGAGGGGAAGTGCCATTTGCATCACATCATATTGAGGACACATTCTGTCGGGGTGACTGATTGTTAGTGCTGACCTTGATCACCTGAGTGAGCCAGTGTTTGTCAGTTTCTCCACGCTAAAGGTTTTCTTTTATTTTTCTTTCCACACTGTCCTCTTTGGAAGGAAGTCGCTGTGCGCAACCCACGCTTAAGTAGGGTGAGTTACGCTCCCTCCTGAGGGCAGAGCACCCGCGTCAATTATTGGGGAGGGTTGTCTAGTCTCCCTGTTTTATTTAATTGCTTATTTATATCAGTATAGACTCGTGGACATGTGTTTTATACTTTGGGTTACAATCTAGTGGCACTTCATTTATTTTCTTGCTCAAATTATTCCAGTTGTGGCCATTGGGAATGCTTTCAGTTGCTCCAGTGTCTCTGCAGTACCCCCCCCCCCG